TCACACACAAGGAGGGGCCCGAACGACTCACACCAGGACGAGCGGCCCGAACAACTCACACCTCGAGGAGCCCGATCGACTCACACGCAAGGAGGCGCCCGAACGACTCACACCAGGACGAGGGGCCCGAACGACTCACACCACGAGGAGCCCGAACGACTCGCACACAAGGAGGGGCCCGAACGACTCACACCAGGACGAGGGGCCCCGAACGACTCACACCACGAGGAGCCCGAACGACTCACACACAAGGAGGGGCCCGAAGAACTCACACCAGGAAGGACGAGGGGGCCCCAACGACTCACACCACGAGGAGCCGGAACGACTCACAGATCTGCGACGCACAGAAAACCGAACCCCTGCATTATCTCTGTCTTGCGCTCCCTGTGCAATTCGAACTTGTCCAGTTCTTCCCGACATGCCTCCACACAGCACAGAGCAAGGACGAAATGAGATTGAAGAAGGCAGAGCCACACGTGCTGGCCTTCGTTCTCTCCCGCGTGAAGCGGAGCGCCGAAAGCAACCCACTGCTTCGCAAAAGGTTGGATCAAATCTCAAAGAGACCATTCCATATCGCCCAGCATCTCCTCGGAAGACAGCCTCCATTTGAATATTTCAGCAGTGGGACCGAATGCGTCGCGGAGGAACGACGGAGCAAGCCTGGTCGACTAGGTCGAAGAGCAGGCAGCGGTGCTCAGGCGCTCAGGCAGCGGCGCAGCGAGAGATCTCGGCGATCGGTGGTCCCTCACACGTGTGGATAGAGTCTGGGTCGACGGGCAGCGATATCACCCATTACTGATTGAGCGGTGTATCACAAGGTAATCCCACCAATGAACCTTCACTGAGTAGAGTCACCAGCACCATCACTTCCCAGGGTAACCAGCACCATCACAGAGTACAGTAACCAGCACCAAAGAATCCAAGTACGGGCTCCAGCCAGTTTGCAATACGAGTCCCACCAGCGGGATGTTTCCTGTACTGGAGCCCACTCGAAGCGCCTCGGAAAATGAGTAGAGGCATATCCACCATTGGATACATACCGAAGCCCAAGCCGTGTCTACAGCAACCACGGACCCCATTGACGCAACATCCAATGTCCAGCCTCACTGTACTCAGAGGTAGTCTCGTATAGCAGCGTCAAATCCTTAGTGGTAAGTATTGACATCACCAGTACTGGAGGAGACACCATCCTCATGAACTCTGCCGCACGCCCTCAGGTGTTGGGAAGAAGAGCGTCCGTGCGGAGCTAAGCTCACTGCACAAATGGTACGCGGAGCTAACAGTAGAGCCACAGGGAGATTGCTGGGCAATGGCCGAGAATGGCTTGGGCCAACTTGGCTTGGCCCACAGTGGCTACGGAAAATCGCTAGGGAATCGCAACGCCTGCGACCCTCTGATGGCAAAGCCCTTGTGGACCCTAGCCTTTGTCACACTCCCTTGTGGACCCGAGTCCCTTGTCTCGACTCCCAGGAAACAGCAATAGCAACATCCCCAGAGCCAGCACGACTAGTAAACCCGATAGGAATTCGACAAAAACCTGGAACCAGCAAAGGCGAGATCGGAGGAACCAGCAAAGACGAGATAACAGGAACCGACCAAGGTACCAGGACCCAGCCAGGGCAGTGAAGGGGGGGGGCTCGGGCCAGCAGCTCGGTTGGCATCATGCTCAGTCGATAGATTACGCGGTGGTATGCTCATTAGCTACAGCCTTTACCAGACGATTCAAATGTCACAAGGGGTCACCTGTGGAGGGTGGTTGCTCTTCATGTTTGTGGAGGGCGGGCAGAGATACGCTCATTCTCGCACAGACCTCGTCTGCATGGAGACGCATGGGGCTCACTAGCGGGGTTGCCAGACCTTGCCATTACAGCAACGTTCAAGATGCGCTGGTACAGCGCTCTCACGACTCACACGCAAGGAGGCGCCCGAACGACTCCACACCAGGACGAAGGGCCCCAACGACTCACACCACGAGGAGCCCGAACGACTCACACACAAGGAGGGGCCCGAACGACTCACACCAGGACGAGCGGCCCGAACGACTCACACCTCGAGGAGCCCGAACGACTCACACGCAAGGAGGCGCCCGAACGACTCACACCAGGACGAGGGGCCCGAACGACTCACACCACGAGGAGCCCGAACGACTCACACACAAGGAGGGGCCCGAACGACTCACACCAGGACCAGGGGCCGAACGACTCACACCACGAGGAGCCCGAACGACTCACACACAAGGAGGGGCCCGAAGGACTCACACCAGGAAGGACGAGGGGCCCCAACGACTCACCTCACGGGGAGACGGAACGACTCACATATCTGCGACGCACAGAAAACCGACCTCCTGCATTATCTCTGTCTTGCGCTCCCTGTGCAGTTCGAACTTGTCCAGTTCTTCCCGACATGCCTCCACGCAGCACAGAGCAACGTCGAAATGAGATTGAAGAAGGCAGAGCCACACGTGCTGGCCTTCGTTGTCTCCCGCGTGAAGCGGAGCGCCGAAAGCAACCCACTGCTTCGCAAAAGGTTGGATCAAATCTCAAAGTGACCATTCCATATCGCCCAGCACCTCCTCGGAAGACAGCCTCCATTTGAATATTTCAGCAGTGGGACCGAATGCGTCGCGGAGGAACGACGGAGCGTCGCGCTTCAATCACTTTCCCCACGCCCACTCGCCCTACACGGAATGGAAAGAATAGCGTCCGTGCCGAGCTAGGCTCACTGCGTAGATGGTAGGCGGAGCTCACTCACAACCACAGGGAGATTCCTGGGGCATGGCCGAGAATATCTTGTGCCTACTTGAGTTGGGCCACAACGGATACGGAAAATCGTCAGGGAATCGCAATGTCTTCGGCCCCTGTTTGGCAAAGTTCTTCTGGGCCCTACCCTCTCTCACACCCCCTTGTGAACCTCCGTCCCTTGTCACGACTCCCAGGAACCAGCAGTAGTGAAATCCCAGGACAGAGCACGACTACTGAACCCGATAGGAACCAGAACAAAGGCAGGCACCAGCAAAGGCGACCTCGGGGGAACCACCGACGGCAAGCTGACAGGAACTGGCAAAGGAACCAGGGCCCAAGAAAAGCGAGATCCCAGGGACACGAATCAAACGAATCAAACGAGGCAGAGGCGGAGGGGGGGGACTGTGAAGAGGACACATATGTGTTCGCACAGGCCTTCGAGCCTGGTCGACTAGGTCGAAGAGCAGGCAGCGGTGCTCAGGCGCTCAGGCAGCGGCGCAGCGAGAGATCTCGGCGATCGGTGGTCCCTCACACGTGTGGATAGAGTCTGGGTCGACGGGCAGCGATATCACCCATTACTGGTTGAGCGGTGTATCACAAGGTAATCCCACCAATGAAACTTCACTGAGTAGAGTCACCAGCACCATCACTTCCCAGGGTAACCAGCACCATCACAGAGTACAGTAACCAGCACTAAAGAACCCAAGTACGGGCTCCAACCAGTTTGCAATACGAGTCCCACCAGCGGGATGTTTCCTGTACTGGAGCCCACTGGAAGCGCCTCGGAAGATGAGTAGAGGCATATCCACCATTGGATACATACCGAAGCCCAAGCCGTGTCTACAGCAACCACGGACCCCATTGACGCAACATCCAATGTCCAGCCTCACTGTACCCAGAGGTAGTCTCGTATAGCAGCGTCAAATCCTTAGTGGTAAGTATTGACATCACCAGTACTGGAGGAGACACCATCCACCATCTGAGCCCACTGCCTGACAGCCCAAAGAACCCAGCATACACCAAGAATAAGAGACAATAACGGCGACCACCTTGCCGCACACGGTAACACACGATGAACCTAAACGCACGCGCTGCCAAGAGCCACGCCGAATCAGTTGCACCGAAGCGGCGCATTTCACTGAATAGTAAGCTGCTCGGTTTTCGCAGTGCCCAACATAGCAGGCTGGCCGATGGGGATTATCATTGCATCCTTCAAAAGATAAAGCATGCCCTTGGAATTGCCAATGGCCCCGCGGCCTGTCCCGTAGTAGACCGCGACGTCCTGGAAGTTCCGCAGCGCCTGGAACTCCGCATTGTGCTTCATGGCGCAGCAAGTGAAATAGAGGCCACTGTTGTCCACTATATCAAATATCCGTTTCGCGTTCCCCCCTTGCGACATCTCCAACGACTGCAGATCCATGACTTTACCTCTCACCGACAACCGAAATGGAGGGTTCAATTTGTCGCGGAGAGATCGAAACACGGAAACGCAACAATCCGAAGGTGGAACCGCATAACTCATCTTGATGAGATTCTCCGACGTCGGTCGAGACAGAACCTGCGCCGTCGTGCCCATCTCCCCGCCAACAGCTTCGATCGACGTCAACGAACGAACTCGCGTCAGCAACTCCCCGTTCCAATTGTTCTTCCCCGCCCCCTGGATGCGAACCTTAGACAGGTCCACGACGCACGGAGCAACCTCGCCCCGATGGCGACGCTCCTGTACAGCGCGCCAGATGCTGCAGATATCTTCAGCGACGTCACCCCATAAGCACGCGCTGATGGGCCCCGTCTTGTCCACCATGACCACGTCGGCCGCCTTCCCTTCCGAGGGCGGATCCTTGCGCTTCCGCGGAGAACCCTCCGCGTAATGTACATCGCGAGGACTATTGTCGCATACAATCAAAACGCCCTGAAAATGACACCTGCCACCCTCCTCGGAAGACTGGAGAATTGCCAGCGCAGATGCGTGGGAAATCTCTTCGGGCGCCGACGAAGTCGGACCAAACGCCTGCCCTGAGAGAATCAGATCAATGCCAGACAAACCAGAAGGCGACGCCGCATCTGACAGCTGCGTCGACCCATGAGCCACGGCGCTCTCCTCGGCGTGTCGGGGAGCAGAGTCCTCCGGACGAACCTCAGATATGCTTTCCCGCAACAAGGCGTAGTACCGGGGTGCCGCAATTTTTCTGGCGGCTCCGATGGTAGCATTCTCCTCTGCTTGGCCGTGCGCGATTGCACATGCTGGCTGTATTGCTCCGTGACGCCCTGCACGGCGAAAGTGTGATCAGTCGCGGATGCCTTCAGAAGGAGTGTTTTACGTTCGTCTGCTTCGTCTGCAGAAACTCCGAACCCCGGGTCCACCATCGGCCGAAACGCCACGGTCGCGCCCAAGCCAGTCCCCGCGTTCTGGCGCGCGCCCGCATCGCATGTCTCGCGCACAATGCGAAAATAGTCCTCCTCCAAAAACTCCCTGAAGCTATCATGAGCGCCCGCCCCACTGAGTTCGACGACTTCAGCAATCTCCTCCCAAGCTGACCACAAATTCTTGTCCAGCGACTCCAACAATTCAGGCCTCATGGCCGACGCGGCATCTCGAGCGAAAACCTTATTCTCCCCGTCGCCGATCGACTGCGGGGAGATCAGCGGGACGAACGTTGACTGGGCAAACCGGTGAGCAAATGTCCTGGCATCAAGCGATTGCTTGGCGAGAAAATCACGCACGTGCTTGTAATAAAAATTGAGGGCCCACTGAGCATGCTTCTCGTCAATCGACGTCGCTGGATCACCAGGACTATTCTTGAAGTACTGCTCTTTATGATAATCAATGTAGCTCTGAATCTGCACAGCATCCAACTTCTCGACGAGATTCACGGTTTCCTCGGCGGCATTCTGCTAGTCGTCCGCTCGCAACTCTATCGGGCGAATGAGCGGGAATTATTTCGCCGCCGCTCGAGAATGCAGATCATCCACCAACGTGGAATTGTCCTCCGCCAACTCCTCGCCGCCAGAACCTGCATCACCCAACGATTCGAGCAGCGTCGTCAAATCAGCCCTCGTAAAAGATTTGTCGAGAGGCCAGCCCCTGCCCTCGAAAACCTCCTTCAGCGACTCCACTGTAACCGCTTCGGCACTTACGCCGCTACTCGCGCCATCGGCGCGACGCCCTTCCAGGAACACGTGCAAGCCCTCAACGCCAGGCTTCTGCATATCTTTCTCTGCCGCGCCGTCCGCTTGCACAGCGATGTTGTCGAAAGACGCCTCCACAGCCTCGTGGAAGGTCGGAGTGGACATGGCCCGAGCCTCGCGCTGGAGGATTGGCAACCTCGCTAAACGAGGTAGAATCGGAAAAGCTGAGTGAACAACGGCTGAGCTACGCTCACTACCGACGATCTCAAAGGCGCGCTCGACTCGAGCCCGCGGCTCGCAACAGTGCGCCAACTTTGCGTGCACGAACCGTACGTGCGCCAAAACCCACCAGCGACGCACTACATGCAACAACCAGATCTGCGACGAGGATCACTCAAATCCGCAACGACATGCAAATCTACGTCACCCACATTTCCCTCGTTCCCACATGTGTGATGATGTGACATGATGTAGGATGTGGAATGGTAAGTATGATGAGGATGTCAGTGGTACGATGTGGTATGGTATCACGGGTGATGCACCTGCTGTTCGATGTGAGGCGCGATGACATGTAAATTCTAAGTTGGACGATGAGTTGTTTGATGACGTGTAAGATGTTAGGTAGTTGATGATCGTGTACGATGTTGTTGTATGACACGTAGGGCGGCGTTGGCAGTCACGAGCGAGAGTCAGGGCACATACCCAGGGCCGTGCCCCTTCTCTAGGGCAGGGAGTGGGGGGGCCACAACACACACCCACTCAACACACGCACTCTCAGTGCGGGCGCGGGTTGACCACCATCAAATACCAGATGTTCCAGTACGTGTAGTCGTTGCCTTTGAGCACATTCCCAATGGCGAACCCTCCGTGGTTCTCTCTCCCCGACAATGAACTCCATCCTCTTGTCTATCATCATCTTGCGCTTATTGTAGCTCTCCCGACAATGAGGCTGCCAACATTGCCCCCCTCATGATCTCCATCCTCTTGCCTATCTCCATCTTGCGCTTAGCGTAGCCCACCGCAGGAGGGAAGGTGTCCTCTAGCTTCTCTGGCATCTCGGGCATCTGATCCTGCGAGGTGTTTGCGCTGTCGAAGTCGGGCCACTCCTCAGTCTTTCCATCCGTAGGCATGCCACGTCTCTAGCTTGTTCTTGTCCCAGGCAGGGATGCCTCCCTCTGGAGGCTGCCGCCCGTCGCGGATCTCTCTGGAGGCTGCAACTACGTCGAAGATCTCTTTGTGTTGACCCTTAGCGATCTCCTCGCGACGCGCAACCCTCAGCTTGAACTCGATCTACTTCATGTTGTCCGTCTCGTCGGCTTGCGGCGTTATATATTATTTGACCGATGGCCAGATGAGGGGGAGCTCCGTCTGGTACTTCAACGTCCCGTGGGCCTCGATCAGCTTTCCCAGGCCTGCCGTGATTCCTTGGATCTGGTCCTCGATGGTACGAATGTTCTCGGCTACCATGTCGATATCCTGAGTCGTCTTCGATTTGGCGATGGCGCTGCGGGTCAAGCACGTCGTAAGCTGCAGCTTGGAGGCCTTCAGGGTGTCGATCTGCGACTCGAGGACCTTGAGCATCTCCGTCGTCACCTCGCGGCTCCTCTGCAGGTTGGTCTCCTGCAGCTCGATCACGTAGCTCACGTGCCCAATCACCTGGTCCTCCGTTTGGCACCGGTACGTCGGAGCGGCCTCTGGTACTTCTGGGAGCGCAGGCATCCCCAGCTTGGCGCGAACTCTCGGCAGAAGGGAAGCAGTTGGCGGTGTTGGAAGGCAGAGCGTCCGTGCGGAGCTAAGCTCACAGCGAAAATGATGGGCGGAGAGAACTCACGGCCACTGGGAGATTGCTCGTAGGCAGCAGCGATTGCTGCTGGCCGAGTTAAGCTCACAGCCACACTTCACCACTGTGAACCAGAATGGCAACAGCGACGACAACGCTGCAGGAAATGTAGACTTGGGCCTCTCCTGAGCGCCTCGGTGAAATCGTAGCCCTTCCTAGAAGCCTTTGGGGCCTCGCGAGGGCCATCTTGGGGCAATCTTGGGGCCTCTTGGTGCCTCCTGGGCGCTTCTTGGGGCCATATTGGAGGAAATCGATCAAATCAGACGAGAACTTCAATTAGTGCTGCCCCCTCGGGCCCTAGATCCTGACGAGCCCCGACTGGGTGCTTGGGAACTCTCAAGAGTAGGCAATGAGGGGCTCGTTAGGTTAAGCGCCCCTCCAGAGGCAGACCGTGGTCGGACGGCATCGTCACATGACTTCGCTTTGCCCAACCGTCCAGCTACAATGGGTTCCTGGGCACTGTAATGTCGTGTCCACTGTCAGCAACGTGGAGCCACGCAGTAGGTCACCGTGAACATGGCAATGAGCTGGTCTCCGAGACAGGAGGAGGAGGAGGAGGAGGAGGAGGAAAAATATGAAGGGGAGGAGATGAGCGATGGGGAGGGGTAGGAGGACGAGAAGGACAAGGAGGAGGGAGCACAAATGCGACGCATTGCACGAATGCCGAGCTGAGCTCGCTGTTCAACTACTAGGCGGAGCGAACACAGAACCACAGCCACTGTTCAACACTGCGAGCCAGAATGGCAACGGCGACGACAAAGCTGCAGGAAAGATGGACTTGGGCCAGTTCTGAGCGGCTTGGTGACTTCGTGTCCCTTCTTGGGGGCCTCTTGGAGCATCGCGTGGCTGCTGCGGACCTCTGGATTTCCTCCAGCGGCTTCCCCGGAGCCTCTGCCAATCGAGAGCGACAAGAGCGACAAAGCGATAGCCTGGATCTGAAAGTTCTCCGCCTTCTCATCCTGACACGAACGCGTCTCGAAAAACGCCATGCGTCAGCTGATGGCAGCTCATACACTCCCACACCTCACCTCCTCCCCCTCCCTCATGACCATCCATTCCCACCCTCCTCCCTCAGGCGCGGGCGCGCGCTGCGCCCATGACATGACATCTGCCCGCTGTGCGCTCGAGGCGCATCTGACGTGCCATGTCGACGAAGGGAAAGGTGAATGAAGAGAGGGAAGCGCGATGATTGCGACTACTGAGGGTAGCTATGTTCCACCTGCGCATTGGATGCAAACGCGCGCTATGCCGAAGAACCGTTGGTCTGCGCATTTCGCACCATACTGCGGCCATGCCGCTGCAATGAAAAACGTGCGCACCGCCGACGAAGTCAAACACTCTACTGCGCCAGCTGAAGTGCACCACGCATGCCCCGGTACTGACAGCTGTTCGCAGGTGCACAGTCCGCAGAGTGCCACGCACAGAGCTGCGATTCCAGGTCGAGCATCTCGAACGGGGGCAGCCGCGGCGGTCCGGCCCAATCTGCACGGATGCTCTGTGACAGCAGCGCCAGCGCCGTGTCAGCCCCAGCCAAGGTCACGCTTCGACCCACGAGCAGGCGAAGTGCCGCCAAGCCCGTGGAACCAGCGAAGCCGCGGGTCGCAACTGACGTCCACTGCGCCAGCTCCAGCTGCGACAACAGCACCGACATGAATTTAGCTGTGTATCCCCCGATTGGCAGGCCAGACCCGAACAAGGCATCCATGGCGCTCGACGCGTTGCCTTCTTGAAGTAGAGCGCGCGCCCCTGGAGCTCGGCGTGCAACACCAAGCACTAAGGATGCAAGCCGTCGAGCTTTGCGCCGAGCACACGCCTGGGTGCCTGTGAGAAGCGACCGCCCGCGGCAAACGCGAATGCTGGGGTTCGCTACCTGCACCTCATCCGCGCGCGTTTGCAAGAGTCTCCTCACCAGATCGCCGCGATAGGATGCGGTCGTGAGAGGAACGCCCACGGCCTGTACCCATGCGTCCGTCCAGAGAAGGCAAGCAGCGCCGACAGCAGCCAAAAGGGCTGAACCATTCGTCCTCAGGCGCCGCAGCTGACAAATAAATGCGCGTACATCACGAGTGACGAGACGCGACGCGCCGAACGGGATGAAGTCGACGACCCTGTCGCCGTTCCGAATCGCCCGCTGGCTGCGCCTGATGGTGCTCTTGAGCCACGAGACGAAGCTAGCACCTGTGACGTTGGTCATCCGGCGCAAGATATTGCCCTTTCGCTCCCGTAGGCCAGACTGCTCGCGAACTTGGCGAGCATGGTAGCGCCCAGACATGTGGATGTCATACTTGCGCTTCTGCGTTCCAAAGTCCATGCTGCATGTTCTGCACCGCCACGGAGGGCCCTCGCACTCCCCAGACATGGCTCACACCAGCACCTCCATGCCCACCGCGCTACGGTGTTGGAAGGCAGAGCATCCGTGCGGAGCTAAGCTCGCAGCGAAAATGATGGGCGGAGAGAACTCACAGCCACTGGGAGATTGCTCGTAGGCAGCAGCGATTGCTGCTGGCCGAGCTAAGCTCACAGCCACACTTCATCACTGTGAACCAGAATGGCAACAGCGACGACAACGCTGCAGGAAATGTAGACTTGGGCCTCTCCTGAGCGCCTCGGTGAAATCGTGGCCCTTCCTAGAAGCCTTTGGGGCCTCACGAGGATGCTGCGTACCCTCCGGTTTTCCTCGGCCAACTTCTCGGGAGCCTCTGCAACCCGAGGCCGCCCCATCTCGGTCCGCATTCCTTCGGGACCCCGCTGGGAGGAAAAGAAGTACCAGGACCAAGAGGCAAGAAACACACCAGGAGGATCAGCAAACATAGGAAAGGAGAAGGACGACAAGGAGGAGGAAGAAGCGCGTCGTCGATGAGTCGTCGTCGACGGCGTCGTGGTCCTCATCGTCGTCGTCGTGGTCGTCATCGTCGTCGACGTCGTCATCCCCTTGAACCGTCTTGGAACGAACTGAGGAAACTTCCACGCCGTCCAAGAACGTCGGGAAGCGGAGTCGGCGAGATGACGAATGGCATTACGCTCGCGCGAGCGATATCATCATACAACATACGTGAAGACTTTCGCGCGCGCACCACCAGAACTCCGATAACGAAACGGCGGAGAAGGACGAGGAGCCTGAACGACTCAGCTCCTGGTGTGAGTCACTCGGGCCCCTACGGCTGTCGACATGTTCAAAGAATTTGACAAAGGAGGAGAAGAAAAAGCAGGGCGACAAGGCTCGGCAACTCAAAGGCGGACTAGCAAACACAATAAAGGAAGACGACGAGAAGAAGCAATAATAATCGCGTCGTCGATGAGTCCTCGTCGACGTCGTCGTGATTAC